CAGGCCTAGAGCCCGAAATGTCAGCCTTTCTGCTCCTATGATGCTGCTTGGCCTGTTGTGTTCATCCAGCTCTGCACCTTGTTGCCCAACTGTTTACTCTGTTTGCCTGTTAAAATCTGTCCCAATGAAAACAAAACCCCATAATACTCCAGGAAGTCTCACTCATGTATGTCACTCCAGAATACTTTGCATACTAATTATTAAACCCCTTCATTTACACAGACCAGATTCCAAATGCCACGAGTTCAAAATCCAAACTTTAAAACAAAAGTTACTTATGTATGTATAAACACATACCGTACATCACAATATTCATTTTGCTCTAAGAGGTAACAGCTAACCTGATTTTGATTTTTCTGCAGGAACTATTTGACATGAATCATGTGCAGCAGATCCCCATACTTCGTCAGATTGTTTACCTCGGCTATGGCTCCATGGTTTTCAGATTCTGTGCACAGAAGGATACGTGCCCTGACAATCTACTTAAGGTGAGGTGATGTGACACACTGGCTATCTGTGACTGAACTGTGGTGATACGAATCCTACGTGTTTCTCATGGAAGCTCTCCTCTTCCAGCCTCTCCATGACTTGCTCAGTGTAGCTACAGCACATGTCAATGAGGAGGACATTGTACTTGGCCTCAAGGCAATTGGCAATGCGGGGCAGCTAGCGAGCATCAAGAACATCATGAAACTGTTACCTGGCTTCGGCACAGCAGCTGCCAGTATCCCACTGAAAATTCAGGCTGATGTTATCATGGCTCTGCGTAATATTGCAAAGAAAGACCCAGGAAAGGTAAAGCAAAACTTCAGTTGTTGTAAACATGTTAAGCACTAACTTTAATGGGTTTGGAATTGATGGTATTGACCTATTCTCTTATCATCTGAGTGTGAATATACTTTGGCAGGTTTTTGACTTCAAATTAGACCTTCATACATTTGTAATTTGAGTTTTTTAAAATTTCTTTCTCCATTTTTAAGCTATTTTGTTTGTCATTCCCTCCTCTTCAAATTGAATCCCATTTTCCTTTTAATACATAGGAACAGAACGAGGCTATTCACCTCCTCGGGTCAATTCTGTCATTGAATTAGACAGTGGTTGATCTAAATTCCATTTTCACCTTCAATCTATATCCCTCACTAAACAAAAAAAAAACTTCAGCTTTGGCCTTGAAGGCTCCAATTTCCAGTGGGCCCGATGTCTACTGACATTTGGAGAGGTAATTTCATATTTCCGCTAGCATTTGCAATTCCCTCTATCACCTCTCCAGCTCCAAACTCCATTTCCCTCCATTAAAAGCATTCTAAAAGACGACCTCTCTGAATCTACTTTCAGTTATCTGTCCTCATGATACTTTTTGGAGTTTGTTGTCATTTTTCAGTGAAGCACCTCTCCTATTCTTTCATGGGAATGTGGGCATCACCAGCAAAGCCAATATCCCTAATTGCCCTTTGAGTGAATGGCTTGTTGGGGCCATTATCAATTGGAGTGGGTTTGGAGCCATGTATAGGTCAGACCAGGTAAGGATGGCAAATTTCCCTCCCTAAAGGGCATTAGTGAGCCAGATGGGTTTTTAATGACAATCAAAGATAGGTTCATATTCCATATCTATGAACTGAATGCTAATTCAAACTCATGAACTGCCCTCGTCTATAGCCACAAACTGCATTAGTTGCCCCGAGGTGAATATGAAAGTCATGTCCACACACCAATAACTTCTAAATCATTAAACCTGTGAAATTATCACAACTCCACCATCTCCTCCTTACTGTTCATGGGACATTTATTTATCTTAAAGGTGCTACATAAAAATAAGCTGCTGTTGTAGCCTTATTTCACTCCTAAATGGCTTTGACTTTATGTTAATCTCATGGCCATTGTTCTCTGTTCACCCACTGAGTCACAAATTATTGTATCCTGTTATCATTTAACTGACTTATTTAGGTCATCCCTCAAACCCAGGAGTTTAAAAGAACACAGATTAATTTATTGCAACTTTTCGTCATAAATTAGGTTGTTAAAGGACTTCTTAAGGCTGTCGTCACTGTTACTACGTATTGTATGGCCTGACCATTTTCTATTGTGCAGTTTGCAGGCCATTCACCATGTTAGTAAACTCACTCTGTGATTGGTGCATCTTGCTCTTTAAATTTTCAACCTACTTAAAGTGCCTTTTTTTAAAATCTCAGGCTTCACTTCTGATCCTGCATATTGCCCAGTAAACTGTAACCTGCTTTTCCCTCTTTTTCTGATGCTATTTGAAGTATTCAGTGTTTTGCAAATAAGTTACACTTTCTTCCAGATATCCTGCATTTGCAACTTCTTTCATTCTCATTCTGCTTACTGTTAAACTGGTCAAAATTATGACACTTGTAACCTCTCCAATCTTGAAGTCAATTGCCTGATGATTCTTTGAACAGTCACAGGCAATTTAGTCCAGAACCTTGGAGTGAGAACGTGGAAGACACAGTTTTTAAATAATTAAAATGATTTTTATTATGATTTTGCAATGTTTGTCACTGTTTTGTGTTTCAGATAAATATTTATGCCTCCAGGTGTTTTCCACTTTTACATTCTTTCATAACGCAGAAAATTATGAAATCCAGAAATATCATGTTGTAGAGTCATAGAGCTGTACAGCACAGAAACAGACCCTTCGGTCCAACTCGTCCATGCTGACCAGATATTCTACATTAATCTAGTCCCATTTGGCTCATATCACTCTAAACCTTTTCTATTCATGTACCCATCCAGATGCCTTTTAAATATTGTAATTGTACCAGCCTCCATCATTTCCTCTGGCAGCTCATTTCATATACACACCACTCTCTGCATGAAAATGTTGCCTATCAGGTCCCTTTTAAATCTTACCCCTCTCACCTTAAACCTATGCCCTCTAGTTTTGGACTCTCCTACCCTGGACAAAAGACCTTGACTATTCACCCCTCATGCCCCTCATGATTTTATAAACATCAATAAGGTTATCCCTCAGCCTTTGATGCTCCAGGGAAAATAGCCCCAACCTATTCACCTCTCCCTAAAGCTCAAACCCTCCAATCCTGGCAACATATATCTTTTCTGAACCCTTTCAAGTTTCACAACATCTTTTCTGTAGCAAGGAGACCAGAATTGAATGCAGTGTACCAAAAGTGGCCTAACCAACATCCTATCAGCTGCAACACAACATCCCAACTCCTATACTCAATCACTGACCAATAAAGGTAAGTGTACCAAATGCCTTCTTCACTACCCTGTCTACCTGTGACTCCACCTTCAAGGAACTAAGAAACTGCACTCATTGTTTGCCAACACTACCTAGGTTTCTACTAGTAACTGTGTCAGTCCTGCCCTGATTTGCCTCACCAAAATGTAGCACCTCACATTTATCTGGATTAAACTGCATCTGCCACTCCTTGGTCCATCAGCCCATCATTGTACTCTGAAGTAACCTTCTTCACTCTCCACTGCACCACCAATTCTGGTGTCATCTGCAAACTTACTAACCATACCTCCCATTATCACATCCAAATCACTAATATAAATGACAAAAAGCAGTGGACCCAACACTGATCCTTGCAGTATACTGCTGGTCACAGGCCTCCAGCCTGAAAAACACCAGCGTCTGTTTTCTACCTTCAAGCCAATTTTGCATGCAAATGACTAGCTCTCCCTGGATCCCATATTATCAAACCTCACTAACCAGTCCACCATGTGGTACCTTGTCAAACACCTTGCTAAACTCCATGTAGACAATGTCCACTGCTCCGCCTTCATGAATCTTCTTTGTCACTTCTTCAATTTTCCCAAGCGTTGCAGATTGGAGTGGTTACTGAAAGTTCTATGTCAGTTTTACAAAAATAGGAAAATGCAATCAGAACACCGTACACATTTGGCAATGTGAACATGTGTTGTTCAATGGCTATTGCCTGCTTTCTTTTGCCTCAGGTACAAGCCATCACGATACAATTATTCATGAATCGAAAGAATCATCCTGAATTGCGAATGTCTGCGTGTGCAATATTCCTGTGCACTAAGCCACATTTGAATTCCTTGTTGGTCCTGGCTGATTCGCTGTTAAAGGAGACCAGTTTGCAAGTGGCAAGCTTTGCTTATTCGCAGTTCAGATCCTTGGCAAGGAGCTCACTCCCTTCTCTCAGGTCCCTGTAAGTGCATGGACCTGGGCTGGACTTTTAAGTCATTCAGAGTTTACTGTATGTGATATTTTTATGGCTGTAACGCATTTTCTATTCATTTTAACAGGGCAGCTGGGTGCAATATAGCTGCAAAACTCCTGAGCGCCAAATTTGACCGACTTGGCTTGCGATTTAGCCGGCTTTTGCATCCTGACAAATTCTGCTGTAAGTTTGCTGTCAGAGAGGTTTATCTCCCATTGACGCAAATGCAAAATGAATTGACCGTCCTAGAGACATAGAGTTTTGACACCAATGAAGCATAGAAACATAGAAGATAGAGTAGGCCATTCGACTGCTACACCATCCATTAGTCATGGCTGATTGTTGAGTTCAATACCCTAATCCTGCCCTACCCCATAAAAGAGGCCATTTAGTCCATTGTGCCTATATCATCCCTCTAATCCCTTTACTAGCACTTGGCCTGTAGTCTTCTATGCTCTGACATTTCAATTGCTCATTTAAAGAGTTCTTAATCATCTGCAGGGTTTCCAGCTCTGCCATCCTTTTAAGCAGTGAGTTTCAGATATCCACGAGCCTCTGGGTGAAAAGATATATCCTCAAATCCTCTCCAAAATCTCCTGCTCCTTACCTTAAAACTTTGACCCCTGGTTATTGACATCTCTACGAAGGGGAAATGTTTCTCTGGAACAAAAACAAATGTTTCTCTGCCCTGACTATGCCCCTGTGGCAATGAGTTCCACAGATTCACCACCCGCTGGCTGAAGAAATTGCTCCTCATCTCAGTTCTAAAAGGTCAGCCCTTCACTCTGAGTTTGTGCCCTCAAGTCCTAGGCTGTCATACTAGTGGAAAAGTCTTCTCCACATCCATTCTATCCAGGCCTCTCAGTATTCTGTAAATTTTAATCAGATACACCGTAATCCTTTGGACTCCATCAACTACAGGCCCAGACTCCTTAACCACTCCTCATATGACAACCCCTTCATCCCCAGGATCATTCTTGGAAATCTTCTCTGGACCACCTCGAATGCCTGCACATCCTTCCTTAGATACAGGGCCCAAAACTGCTCGTAATATTTCAAATGCAGTCTGACCAGGGCCTTTTACAGCCTCTGCAGTATATCTCTGCTTTTGTATTCTAATCGTCTTGAAATGATTGCTGACATTACATTTGCCTTCCTAACTACTATCTGAACCTGCACATTATCCTTAAGAGAATTCTGAACTAAGACTCCCAAGTCCCTTTGTACTTCAATTTCCAAAGTCTTTCCTCATTTAGAAAATATTCTATGCCCCTATTCTTTCTGCCAAAATGCATAACTTCATACTTCCCAACATTGCTTTCTATCTGCCTCTTCTTTACTCACTCTCCAAACCTGTCCAATCCTTCTGCAGCCTCCCAGCTTCCTCAACACTACCTATCCCTCCACCTATCTTTGTGTCATTTACAAACTTAGCAACAATGCCCTCAATTCCTTTGTCCACATCGTTAATGTATATCATGAATAACTGTGGTCCCAACTCTGACCCGTGTGAAACTCCAGAAGTCACCAGCTGCCATTCTGTAAAAGACCCCTTTAGCCCCTCTCTGTGCCTTCTGCCAGTCAGCCAATCCTCTATCTATGCCAGTACCTTGCCTCTAACACCATGGGCTCTTGTCTTATTTAGCAGCCTCCTGGGCGGCACCTTATCAAAGGCCTTCTGGAAATCCAAATAGATCACGTCCACTGGCTCTCCCTTGTCTAACTTTCTCATTAGCTCTTCAAATAATTCTGACAGATTTATCAGGCATGACCTCCCCTTGATGAAGCCATGCTGACTCGGCCCTATTTTACCATGCATTTCTAAGTACTCCGCAATCTCATCCTTAAAAATGGACTCTAAAATCTTACTAACAACCGGGTCTGACTAATCGGTCTATAGTTTCCTGTCTTCTGCCTCCTTCCCTTCTTAAACAAGGGTGTTACATTAGCCATTTCCTAGTCCTCTGGGACTCTCCCTGACTCCAATTATTCCTGAAAGATCACTGCCATCTCCCCAGCTATATGTTTTAGCATCTGGGGTGTTGTCCATATGGTCCACGTTATTTATCCACCTTCAGACCTTTCAGCTTACTTAGCATCTTCTCCTTAGTGATGGTCACTACACTCACCTCTGCCCCCTCGGTCTTTTGAAGTTCTGGTTGGCTGCTGGCGTCTTCCCTTGTGAAAAGTACCGAATGAGTTGCTACTTCGTCAACCTCATTTTCCAGCAGTTTAATGCCCAGTCTTGCCTCTCTCTTACCTTTGGATTGTCTAAAAAAACACTCTTGCAACCTTCCTCTACACTACTAGCCAGATTACTGCCTGGACTGGAGGGCAGGTCTTATGAGGAAAGGGTGAGGGAGCTAGGGCATTTTTCATTGGAGCGAAGAAGGATGAGAGGTTACTTGATAAAGGTTTACAAGATGATGAGAGGCATAGATAGGGTGGATAGTCAGAGACTTTTTTCCAGGGCGGAAATGACTATTATGATGGGGCATAGTTTTAAGGTGATTGGAGGAAAATATAAGGGAGATGTCAGAGGTAGGTTCTTCACACAGAGTGGTGGGTGTGTGGAATGTGCTGCCGGCAGTGGTAGTGGACTCAGATACTTTAGAGACTTTTAAACCACTCTTGGATAGGCACATGGAGGATAGTAAAATGGAGGGTATTCAGGGTAGATTGATCTTAGTAGGATAATAGGTCGGCACAACATCATGGGCCGAAGGGCCTGTACTATACTGTTCTATGTTCTATGTTCTATGTTCTATATTGCATCTTCTCCCCCTTATTGGTTTTTTAGTTATTCTCTGTTGGTTTTTAAAGGCTTCCCAATCCTCTAGCTTCCCCTTAATCTTCACAACATTGTATGTTTTTTCTTTTGCTTTTATGCTGTCCCTGACATCCCCTGTCAGCCATGGTTGCCTCATTCTCCCCTCAGTCTGTTTCCTCTTCTTTGGGATGAATTTCTGCTGTGTTTCCTGCATTACCCCCAGAAACTCCTGCCATTGTCAATCCACCGTCTTCCCTGCTGTGTTCCCCTTCCAATCAACTCTGGCCAGCTCCTCCCCTATGTCTTTGTGGCTATCTTTACTCAGTTGTAATACTGTTACATCTGATTCCAGCTTCTCCCTCTCAAATTGCAGGGTGAATTCTAACATATTATCGTCACTGCCCCCCTAGGGGATCTTTCACCTTAAATCTCCTAATCAAGTCTGCCCCATTACACATCACCAAATCCAGAATTGCCTGTTCCCTACTGGGCTCTACCACAAGGTGCTCCAATAAACCATCTCATAGAGATTCCACAAATTCCTTTTCTTGACATCTGCTACCAACCTGATTTTCCCAATCCAACTGCATATTGAAGTCCTCCATTATTATTATTATTATAAGCCATGTTAATAGTGCCTTTCTTACATGCATTTTCTATTTCCTGGTTTATTTTCTGCCCCACATCCTGACCACTGCTAGGAGAACTGTACTTAACTCCCATCAGGATCCTTTTCTCTTTGCGGTTCAACAACTCTACCCACACAGATTCTAAATCTTCCGCCTCTATATCACTTCTTGCTAGCGATATAATTTTATTGTTAACTAACAAGGCAACCCCGCCCCCTCTGCCCATCTGCCTGTCCTTTTATTTAGTTCCCAGCTCTGCTCCCCGTGCAGCCACGTCTCTGTGATACCCACAACATCATATCCATCAATTTCAATCTGTGCTACAAACTCATGTACCTTGTTTTGGATGCAGCATGTATTTAAGTACAACACCCTCAGTCCTGCATTGAGTGCCCCTTTTCTCATAATTGCCCCCTTATCTGCTGTGCCTGGAGTAGAATTCCCCTTTCCATATCCTCTGTCCTATTATTTGTTCTGCAAAATTTTAAAAAATCTCTGCTGACCTCTCCTGCACTTTAATTTTTTCCATAATTTTCTATACAACTGACCCTCACTGCTTAGATTCAACCTCCTGTGAAGCAATTTGGAGTGACATTCCCTCTACAATGTATGTGGAGTGTGAGGGCAATTTGTTTAACAGCAATGATGTTCAAAATTGTGTGTAGCGATTTAAAGAGACTGACTTGCGTGCGAGATTGAGATGTGGTACAAAGGTAGCGTTATCCGTTAGAGATGCGAGAAAAACGCAGGCTTCGTTTATCTCAATAAGATATTCTGAGCGACTGGGTGATTTGCTGCCTGTTTTTTTTTGATGCAGTCAAGCTGATGTCAGGATTATCTGCTAAAGCCATTCTGCTGAATAATGCTGGGACTCCCATCCCAACAGTAGTAGCAGCCAAAATCACGGGTCATACGTTGGGATCTTCTGCTAATCTGGCAGAGGTAATGTATCCTCCAGCTGTGAAACTCCAATTGATGTGAAACTTTGTCTCCACCGCAAATTCATCTTGTGTATGTGTGGGTTGCTCCAATGCTTTCCTCTTCTGCTTTATGCAAAAGGTCAGCTTTCGAATGGAAGGCCTTCAAGAGGTCATCATGAAAGCCCTCGCACCAGTCACAGGAGTTCCTGATCTGAAGCAAATTCAACGTATCTTAAATAAGGTAATATCAAGTTAGCACTGGCAGTGCTATCACCATGGAAAAGTCAGCAGGCTGTACAATAAAAATGGAGAACCTTAGAGTGAGGGTTCAAATGGGTGACTCTTTGTCAAAATTGTGAGGTATCGGAGATTAGCATTTGCAGACTCAGGCAGTAAAACAGTGAACAAAATTCCAGGTCCACTAGGATCCCCTTCAGTTTTCTGCCCAAAGGTCTGACCCACAAAGCCATGATCTCCACCATAGGTACAGGGAGGAGGCAACTCCCAACTGTCCCCCAGACAGAGCAGAGATTGAACCCCATGCTGTCAGCACTAATCTCATTCCCATTGACTACCCAGTTGACTAACCCAACCGACTCTCTCCCCAAAGGAACAAAAACAGAAGTTGCTGGGAAAGCTCAGCAGGACTTGCAGTATCTGCGAAGAAAAAAATCAGAGTTAATGTTTTGGGACTGGTGACCCTTCCTCAGGACTCTCTCCCCAAAGGAGTCTGCCGAGCTACAGCAGCATCCAACTGTCCTTCATTGCTAAAGGGATTGAGATTAAAAGCAGAGAGGTTATGTTGCAGCTGTACAAGGTGCTGGTGAGACCACACCTGGAGTATTGTGTGCCGTTTTGGTCTCCTGACTTGAGAAAGGATGTACTGGCACTGGAGGGGCTGCAAAGGAGGTTCACTAGGTTGATTCCGGAGTTGACGGGGTTGGCTTATGAGGAGAGACTGAGTAGATTGGGATTATATTCATTGGAATTCAGAAGATTGAGGGGGGATCTTATAGAAACATATAAAATTATGAAGGGAATAGATAAGATAGAAGTAGAGAGGATGTTTCCACTGGCAGGTGAAGCTAGGACAAGAGGGCATAGCCTCAAGATTAGAGGGAGCAGATTTAGGACTGAATTGAGAAGGAATTTCTTCACCCAGAGGGTTGTTAATCTATGGAATTCCTTGCCCAGTGAAGTAGTTGACGCTACTTCAGTAAACGTTTTTAAATAAAAGGTAGATTTTTTTTGAACAATAAAGGAATTAAGGGTTATGGTGAGAACGCAGTTAAGTGGATCTGAGTCCACGAAAAGATCAGCCATGATCTTATTGAATGGCGGAGCAGGCTCGAAAGGCCAGACGGCCTACTCCTGCTCCTAGTTCTTATGTATGTTGATATAGTAGCCTGCAGCTATGGACAGAGATGATAGAGGCCCCAGTGTTCATTTTATCACATGCCTGACCCAGGAATCTCTCCCACTCTTATTTTCTGCCTTTGGTATGTGTTGGAAGGATTGTTCTTCAACCACATTATAAATGCACCTAAGTAAAAACCAAAAAAAAGTCCCGCCAATGCCAAAAATCAGACGCAGAAGCAGAAATTGCTGGAAAAGCTGACAAGCTCTGGCAACATCTGAGGAGAGAAATGAGAGTTAACGTTTTGGATTGAGTGATTCTTTGTCAGAACCACTCTGAACAGTTCTGATGAAGGATCACTCGATCTGAAAGTTTAACTCTGATTCCTCTGGACAGATGCTACCACACCTTTTCCAGCAATTTCTGTTTTTGTTATAAATGCACCTTCCTTGGCCATAACATCCTAAAATAAGGAACAGGGTGAGAATGAGACTTCGCCCGAGTGAAACAGAGGCTATGAGTATTTATGTGAATTTGCTTCAAACTAGGAATTTGAATCAAGGGAGGAAGGAAATGCTTTGAGTAAGGTTTTCTGCAAGAAGTAAAGATTTTAGAGCATACGGTGCATAGGAGAGGCTAAAAGGGAAGGATCAAGGGGCCACCTTGCAGTGAGACCAGCAGCAAAGTGTCCTCATTGAACCACAACATGATACCAATGCAGGGAAAGCAGCTGATTGGTGACAGGATTGGTGAGTAGGTCTGGTAAAATAAAAGTTAGGTCGTAGTTTGTGTTTAGGCCTCTAGTGTTTTTTTCTCTCTTTTACCGAAGTTTGTTAAATATAAGATTGACTCTGGTGTGTAAAATAAAATAATTACAATGAGGCATAAACAACGTGGGATCCCAGGCATAGGAGACTAATTAATTAATTAATTAAATAGCATATCATGGTGATGGTAGGATGAGTGGTGTGTTGCTGCTGCAGTCTGTGGAAGCTGCTGGACAACATGGTAATGCAGAGCAAATGTAAAAACAGTAAGTAATCGCAGCTCAGGAAATATCTGATCCAAATTGGGGAGATCAAGGATGAGACTCAGACAATATTTCACATTAAGCAGGAGGAGCATTACCTGGAGTCTTGACTCCTGGAGGCAGTCACACCCCTCAGACAAAGTAATTCAAATTTGATCTGTATTCGGGGGCAGGAGGGTGTGTCTAGAGGTGAGGAAGTTATTAAAACTCAGCAATCGCATTCAGTCTTGGGCCCTGTGATTGTCAAACTGTTATGAGGTTCTTGCAAGCTGTATGGACAACAGCGGGATGGGTGAGCAGATTGACCAGGGCATCATAACACGGGAGCCCCATTGAAGAGGAATGTAGAAATGGGAAAGGAATGGTGATAGGCAACTGTATAATTAGGGGAATAGATGCTGTTTTCTGCAGCCACGAGTGTGAGTCCCGAAGGCTGTCTCACCTGGATAGTGCCAGAGTTAAGACCATCGTTTCTGGGCTGGAGAAGACCTTTCAGTGGGAAGGGAAGGATCCAGTTGTCATCATCCACATTGTTACTAATGACATTGAAAGGACTGGAAAAGGAATACTGGTGAAAGAACTTGTCCAGTTAGAAACTGCTAAATTAAAAAAGTAGAACCTCCAAGGTAATAATCTCAGATAATAGTGCATGGTTCAAAGATTGGTGTGTCATATTCACAACGGAAAGCATTAAAAGTATCCTATAAGTATCAAATGATCAAAAGGAAAAAAGGGAGAGGTAATAAATACAGCAACACTGACTGGAGAAAATGTACCTGGGAAACTAACAGGGTGAAAAGCCAATAGGTCTCCTGGACCTATTGGAATGTATCCCAGGACTGTAAAAGAAATAGCTACATAGACAATGGATGGACAGGCACTAATCTTGTAAGAATGCTTAGATTCTGGAAAAGTCCTAGAAAACTGAAAAATTGCCAAAATAACACCGTTATTCAAAAAGGGTTTTAGACAAAAAACGTAACTATAGGCCAGTGAGCTTAACATCTGTCTTTGAGAAAATTTGAGAGTCTTTTCTAAAGGATGTGATAGCAGAACATTTAGATACATGCAATAGAAACAAGTAGAGTCAGTATGGCTTCTTGAAAGGCAACCATGCCCGACAAATCAACTAGAATTCTTTGTGGAGGTAACAAGCAGGAATGATAAAGGGGAAACAGCGGATATAATACATTTGGATATATGGTGCTGTTATGATCCAGATAAAACCCCCTTCAAATACATCAAGGAGATAGCCTAGACCCCAACTTTTATCGTATTTAAAGGCAAGTGTAAGGTGCTTTGTTCCAGATGTAATTTGATTGGTTATACTACTCATCTTTAAGCAAAATACACTTTATTCTGATCCTACAGTTAAAATACAAACAACAGAAAGAAGAATCGGTATAACTTTAGCTCTACTGGAAAGCTTAACAGAACAATAGAATACTTAACTACTAAACAGTAACTGTTCCAATATAGTAACATCCCATAAACACACCCTTGGCAGAGGCAAAGTCAGTAAAATAGATTGTCTCACATGCAATGTTTCTCCAGTCCAGAGAAAATTCTGGCAAAGAGACAGACAACTCAAGTGTTTTTCCATAACAGAGAGAGACGTATGGAAGCTTCCAAACCCCAAATCTAAACTAAAACCCTGGTTCTATGGGAGCCTGATCCCACCCATTCATGATTCTTCTATTGTTCTAACATTAAAAAATAGATCAAGGCCTCACAAGCTGTTCACTTTAATGGCTTGGAACAGACTGCTCATCACCTCTGTCTCAACCTCTTCACAAAAAAAAAACGGATAAACTACACTTCTTAAAGCCATAGTATGGTCACAGTGTATTTTTAAGGTATCACAGGTTTGGCCACAATAGTCCTGGAGGCTGTGTGTTAGCATGGATAATCTACTGACTAACTATTAGAAGACAGGGAGTTGGGATAAAGGTAGTAACCTGTGATCAGTGGAGTGTCATAGGAGCCAGCGCTGTAACAATTTTCAATATATATTAATTACTTTGATGAGGAAAATGAATGCACTCTAGCCAAACTTGTGAATGGCACAAATAGCTTGGAAGACAAGTGGTGAGGATGAGACCAAGTCTTCAGAGGGTTACAGACGTGTAAAACAAGTGACAAAAACTTGGCAGATGGAATATGAGAATATATAGGTTATCAGAAAGCATAGAGAAGCTGAATATTATTTAAATGGGGAATGGCTACAGAAAGCTTAAAGGATAGAGGGATTTGGGAGTCCTTGTTATAAAGCACAAGAAGCTAACATCCAATGTCAGTGGGTAATAGGAAAGACAAATGGAATACTGGATTTTATCTCAAAGGGATGGAATATAAAAGTAGGAACGTTTAGCTATAGCTATCCAAGACATAAGTCAGAAAACAGCTGGAATACTGTGAAAGTTTTAGACCCTTTATCTACAGAAGGATATAGTGGCATTGGAGTCAGTCCAGAGTAGGTTTACTAGGCTGATCCTGGGAATGGAAGAATTTTCTTAAGAGGAGAGGTTGAGTAGATTGAGCCTATACATTTTGGAGTTTAGAAAAATGAGTGGCTTCCTGTACTGAAACATACTGGATTTTTAGAGGACTTTTCAGGGTAGATGCAGACAGACTGTTTTATCTTGTGGGAGAGTCTAGCATTGAAGGGTATAATCTCAGAATAAGAGGTTGTACATTTAAGGCAGAGATGAGGAGGAATTTCTTCTCTCAGAGAGGAGTGAACCTCTGAAATGTTTTTACCACAGAGGGTTGTTGAGGCTCAGTCATTAAGTATTTTAAAGACCGAGACAGAGAGATTTTTAAACAGGAAGGGAATTGAGGAAAAAGGCAGGAAAGTGGAGTGAGGATTGTCAGATCAGCCACGATCTCATGAAATGGCTGAGCAGACTAGATGGGCTGAATGGCCTACTTCTGCTCCCACATCTTATGGAACTTGAACTGGAGATTCTGGTCCAGAGGTAGAGGTGCTTGAGGTGCAATACAAGACTGTCTGGTGTAGAGGGTAAACACTGATATAGGAAATAATGATGGAAGGAAAAAGTAAGTGGTAAAGAGACAATAAAGAAATAAAAGATGGGTTGACAGGATCCTCATAAAATCCCTACAGTGTGGAAACAGGCCATTCAGCCCACACTGACTGTTCAAAGACTATCCCCCTGACCCTTGTGCCCCTATAACTCTGCATTTCCCATGGCTAACCCACCTAGCCAGCACATCCCTGGGTACTATTGGGCAATTTAGCATGGCCAATCCACCTAACCTACATATCCTTCGACTGTGGGAGGAAACTCTAGCACCCAGAGGGAACCCACGCAGACACAGGGAGAATGTGCAAACATCACACAGTCACTTGTGGGTGGAATCAAACCCAGGTCCCTGGTGCTGTGAGGCAGCAGTGCTAACCACTGAGCCGCCGTCCCACCCCTTAGAATCACAGAATCGTTATGATGTAGAAGGTGGCCACTCAGCCCATCATGTCTGCAGTAGATCTCTGTGCATCTTAATTTAGTGCCAATCTCCTGCCTTTCCCTGTAAACCTGCACACTGTTTTTGCATAGCCAGGCACTGAAATTGACTGACGATGCTGATGACTCAATATTTTAACTAAAGTCTTGAGAATTACTAATACTGTATTTTTTTCACTCAAAATACATTCTTTTTCAGTTCCCAGGATGGAAGTCCTTACCAGAAAAAGTACCTCTGGCTTCAGCGTACCTGAAACTGTTCGATCAAGAGATAGCCTTTGTGGAGTTCAAAAGGAATGACTTTCAGAAAGCCATTCAAGTAAGGCTGAATCATGGCAAGTTTACAGCAGCTTAAAGTAGAGTGGCATTTGCCTGAGCTGCTCTGAGGGTGATTTTTCCAGGCTGGTGCCAGTCACATGAAATGCTGTGATATACAAGGTGTAGAGCTGGATGAACACAGCAGGCCAAGCAGCATCAGAGGAGCAGGAAGGCCAACACCTTGTATATCTCAGATTCTCCAGCATCTGCAGTTCCTACTATCTCTAACATGAAATGCTGTACTTGTTTTCATAGTCACTCACTGACGCACGTGGGAAACGCAGCACGTTGACGAAGCTGCTCACATGGCTCCAGAAGCCAGTTGAATTGCGCCCTGCAGCAGCATTAATGAGTGCCGAGCTGAGACGGTTCGTCCCTACCTGTGTTGGTCTGTCCATGGAACTCTCCTTCCTTTCAACTGTTGTGGCAAAAGCCAATATCAACGGTAAGGCTTTTTCTCACAATTTCTTTCTATCCACAGACATATGAGGAAGGACTGGATCGACTGGGCTTGTGCTCGCTGGAATTTAGAAGAATGGGGGGTGGGGGGTTGTGGTGGTTCTCATAGAAACATATAAAATCCTGATGGGACTGGACAGACTAGGTGTGGGAAGAATGTTCCTGATGTTGGGGAAGTTCAGAATTCTAAGAATAAGGGGAAAGTCATTCAGGACTGAGATAAGGAAGAACTTCTTCACTCAGAGAGCTGTGAACCTGTGGCATTCTCTCCCACAGGAAGCTGTTGGGACCATTTCGTTAGATATATTCAAGAGGGAGCTAGACGTGGCTCTTGTGGCTAGAGGGATCAAGCAATATGGGGAGAGGGCGGGAACGGGATACTGAGATTGCATGATCAGCCATGATCGTATTGAATGGTGTTGCAGGCTGTATGGCCTACTCCTGAACCTATTTTCTATGTTTCTAAAGCATTTTGACCATACAGCTTCATTTTTCTGGGAAAGTAGACAACTCATCTATTGCTCACAGTATGGTTGTTATGTTATGGTTGTAATACTAGACTAGTAATCCACTGGGCATATTAGGGAGCTGATGGCCGAGTGGTATTATCACTGGACTATTAATCCAGAAGCTCATCTGGGGACCTGGGTTTGAATCTCGACCATAGCAGATGATGGGAAAGGAATCCAATTTTTTTTTGAAAATCTGGAATTAAGTCAGGAGGAATTTCTTCACCCAAAGGGTTGTGAATCTGTGGAATTCCCTGCCCAGTGAAGCAGTTGAAGCTACCTCACTGAATGTGTTTAAGGCAAGGTTAGATAAATTTTTGAACGGTAAAGGAATTAAGGGTTATGGTGAGTGGGCGGGTAAGTGGAGCTGAGTCTCAAAAAGATCAGCCATGATCTTATTAAATGGCGGGGCAGGCTTGAGGGGCCAGATGGCCTACTCCTGCTCCTAGTTCTTACGTTCTTAAGTCTAGTGGTGACCATGAAACCATTGCCAATTGTCAGGAAAAACCCATCTGGTTCACTGATGTCCTTCAAAGAAGGAAATCTGCCATCTTTACCTAGTCTGGCTTACATGTGACTCCAGACCTACGGTAACACAGTTAAGTCTCAACTGTCCTTTGGGCAATTAGGGATGGGCAATGAATAGTGCATAGGAACATAGAAATAGGAATAGGCCATTCAGCCTTTCAAACCTGCTGCATCATTCTACTCCACCCAGCCAGTGATGCCCACATCCTGTGGATGAATTTTTAAAAAATCATTACCAAACTAGTCAGCTTCAATTCTCTATTTCTCTCGTACCAGATGGATTAAAGTTGCTGACACGTTGTTTAATTCCCCTTTCACATCTGAGGCATTGTGCCAACATTGGACAAGCTGACCCACAAGACAAGTTAAGCAGCATTTGTTGCTCCTACTCACTAAATTATAACTTGCACTCAAAACCCCAGATTCCTCCATCACCATCCCTCAGCAGGAGTTAGGTATTGTTCTTGGGACTAAAGTGATCAAAGGATATGGGGGTGGGCAGGAGAGTAGGAACAGACTATTCAGTTGGGGAGCAGCCACAATCACATTGAAGGGTGAAACAAGCTTGAAGGACAAAAAGGCTTATTCCTGTTCCTATTTTCTATGTTTCTATGTCCTGTCCCTCAGCAGGACAGGACTATTCTCTTGAAAGAAGCACTGAGGGTGACAAGGGAATAGAGCGTACCTTGGGTGGTGCTCTCCAAAGTCCATCACCAAGAGAGACTCGGTATCACTCAGACTGACCGAGCTCTGAGGGTTATCTGTTATACTGCGTGTATTTCAGATATTGAGAGAAATTGAAATGAAACCCTCTGATCACTGACCTATTTGTAGATGATGCATCTGTCCATGACGGTGACTACTTCATAGTTCCCATGAAGACAAAATCACCTCTTCATAGTGAGGATATCTTTCATCCTGTTGTATTGTACTACCACAGTGCTGAATCTGATAGATTCAGGACAGATCCAAAAGCTCAAAACTAGACTTGTACAGTGGGCTGTGAACCAAAGGAGAAATTAGACTCAGCCACAACCTCATGACCCAGCACTTCTCCCACTCTATCATTACCATCGAGTCAGGGAATTATCCCTGGTTCAATGAAGGGTGCAGGAAGGCATGCCAGGCGCAGCACTGGGTATACAGTGGTGCCAGTCTCATGAAGGTACTGCAAAAGACAGCATGTGTACCAAGCAGCAGAAACAGCATATAATTGACAGGGCTAAGTGATTGCACAACCAATGGATCAAATCAAAACCATTTCACACAATGCTTCATTATTGTCTCAGTCCAATGTGTGAGTGACTGGCCTTGACATCAAGTCAGTACAAGTGAGGAATTGTGAAGCACTGGGAAAATCGAGGTCACTGGGTTTCAGCTGGAATCAAACTTAGCACAAAGGACGGTGGTTCTGATTGTTGGAAACTGGTCTCTGCAGGCCCAAGGCCATCATTACAGGATCTCTTCAGGGTACGGTCCTTTTCCCCACTACTTTCAGCTGCTTTTGTTTTATTCAACAATGGGATGTGGTCATCGTTGGCTAGACTTGCATTTGTTACACGTCCCTAAGTAAGAGTCAACCGCATTGTTGTGGTTCTGAAGTCACATGTAGACCAGACTAGGTGAGGATGGCAGTTTCCTTCACTGAAGGACATTAGTAAACCAGATAAGATCCCCCTGACCATTACCATTACACTCTTAATTCAGATTTTGTTTTAGAAATTGAATTCAATTTCCCACCATCTGCTACAGTGGGATTTAAACCCAGGTCCCCAGAACATTACCTGGGTTTCTGGATTAATAGCCTAGTGACAATACCATGACACCATCACATCCCTACACTATAATGAGTGCTATAATCAACAACCTCCATCTGAGGGTGCAATACATTCACTGATGATTATGCGATGTTAAGTACCGTTCACAATTCCTCAGATACTGAGGCACTACATGTCTGCTCACAGCAAGATCTGGGAAATATCCAAGTTTTGATTGATAAATTGCAGGTAACATTCACCTCACGCAACTGCCAGATGATGACTACCTACAGCAAAATTAAAATTAAAATTCTAACAGGACTCGATAGGGTAAACGCAGGAAGGATGTACCTGATGATGAGGGAGTACAGGACCAGGGGTCACAGTCTATGGATACGGGATAGGCCCGAGGACTGACATAAGATGGAATGCCTTCACCCAGAGAGTGGGGAGCCTATGGAATTCTATGCCACAGAAAGTGATTGAGGCCAAAACATTGAATGTTTTCATGAAGGAGTTGAATGTAGTTCTTAGGGCTAATGGGATCAAAAGGTATGGGGAGAAAATGGGAACAAGGGACTGAAGTGGAGGATCAATCAATGAACACACTGAATGGTGGAGCAGGCTCGAAGGCCTGAATGGTCTACTCCTGAACCTATTTTCTATGTCTCTACGTAACAAGAGAGAATCTAACTGTACACCTCTTGACATTCAACATCATTACCATTGCTGAATCTCACATCACCAATACTTTTTGGATGCTGGAAGGGGGAAGGTTATTCTTGGCCAGAAAGTTAACTGGACCAGCCACATAAACACTGAGTAAAAGCAACAGACACTGGGAATTCTACAGGGAGCAACTCACCTACTGACTGTCTGGATTGGCACGGTGGCTCAGCGGTTAGCACTGCTGCCTCACAAGTAACAGGGATGTGGGTTTGATTTCAGGCTTGTGTAACTGTCTGTGTGGAGTTTGCATGTGCTCTCCGTCTCTGTGTGGGTCCCCTCTGGGTGCTCTGGTTTCCTCCGACAGTCCAAAGATGCATAGGTTAGGTAGATTGGCCAAGGGAAATTGTCCCATAGTGTCCAAAGATGTGCAGGCTAGGCAGGTAGCCTCCATGGGAAATGGAGGATTATGGGGTTAGGGTAGGGGTCTGGGTGGGATGCTCTTTCGAGGGTTGACGCATTACTTGATGGGTCAAATGACCTCTTTCTGCACTGTAGGGTTTCTGTGATTCTCCAGCGTCTATCTATGAGGCACAAGTCAGGGAAGTGCTGGAATACACTCCCAATTAGAGAAAGTTGCCATAGGCCCAGAAGAACATTGGCTGCTCTTATTAGACAGAGGGAGACTCAAAACTGGTGGTGAGTTTATTCTGAAGATCACCACACTTCAGGGAGAGTTAGGTTGAGAAAATGGGGTTTTCATGGCGATTTCAGCCATTCTGGGAATTGTACCCTGCTGTCGGCATCACTAACCAACTCCAGTGTGATCATCTTTTTCAATGGTGCTTGAAGGGACAGGTGACCTCCCCCAGCTTTGTCTCCTTATATTCTTAAGAATGTGACTTGTTTTAAATAGAAACATGGGTTAACTTACAGGAAGGAGCAAACAATGCAATTATGACTGACATTTCTCACTCCCTTTCTCAAATAGTTGATGCACGTATCCCTTCCTCCATCTCTTCCTTTTCTCAATTGCTCAGTGCTGATATCCAGCTGAAGGTTCAGCTAAACCCAAGGTAAGCATTACAAACCTTCTCTCCAAGGCTATCTTAGATTGCAAGGCTCTAACAGCTTGCATTTTACTTTAAGAATTATTATTCACCAAAGTGATTTCATACTTTGCAGCCATATTTCCTGGCTGGACCAATTTACAGTTTCTCTGCTTTCTCTCTCAGTGTGTCTGTGTATAGTAAAGCCATCATGGGAATAAATACTCCCTTTGTCCAGTCTGGCTTAGAACTTGATGCAAAACTCCGTGCTGCTTTCTCCGTCGATGTGACAGTGAATATGAATATAAAAGAAAGAAATTTGAAAATTGACACAGCAGCAGTTGAACAGGAAAATCAAATCTTATCTTTCAGGTAATGAATACCGCATTTATTTTTTTCTAATTACCTTCCATTCCTCAGCTTTTGGGGGACATTGTGACCCACCTGAGGATGTAGAGGGTATTTTGCATTGCTATACCATGGTTAGGAGCCCTCGGGTGGATGACGTACATGTCATTCTATTTTCAAAACTCATCCTTCTTTTCCAATCCCTCTATGGCCTCACCCCTTACTATCTCTAATCTCTTCCAACCCACCACCTTCAGCGATCTCTGCGTTCATCCAAATCCTACTGCTCTACCATTGATAGCTGTGCCTGCAGCTATCCTAAACTCTAGAATGCCCTCCCTTGGTCAGAATTTAATGCCCTCCCCTTGTGGCAAGTTGGGAGGTGGACGGGGCATTATCCAGACTCAAGGGTGGCAGGTGAGGACCGTGCTGTGATGGTAAGGCCTGAAGACCACTTACCCACCCTGACACTGAGCAATGGCCATGATAGCCCTACCGCTATCCACCCAGCAAAAACTGGAAAATTGGACCTTGTTGGGGTTGCTTGCAGGCATCCAACGTAAACCTTCTTTTGGAAGGAGCCAACATTGGAAAGGTGGGGTGCTCCCAGCCCTTCCCCTGTTTCTGACCCTCCGTCTCCCTGCCCAGGGGACTGCCCCCGTGATCCACCCGCCTGCCATCATTCACCAGTGCTGGAGTTCGCGTGTGACCCTGAGCCTCAGGCGGGTGCATTATTGGCAGCAACCACCATTTCCCTAGTGACGCTGCTGAGCAATGAAGAACTGCTGGTCAACAGGTCTTGGTGGAGAGATGGACATTCAGCCCATTAGTGTCATTGATACACGATTCACTGGGCCTCCCAAAAAGAGGAGAGACAAGAGCCCTTGCTGGATCATAAGGGTGAGACCATTGTTGCCATCAATGAATTCCACCCTTTTTGTGGCATTATTTCTGATATTGCATTATAATGACCCAGTAGGATCCTTGCCAAGTTTAATTATGTTATTATGACGTGAGATTGCTTTCTTGGAAAGGGGAAGGCTAAGACAAGATCTGATGGATATGACTTGTCTACAACGGCTAGCGTAAAACTGTTAAGAAGTCATACCACTCCCTTGGCCTGATAAACAAAAGCATGTATAGAGTTCACATATTATGTTAAAGATTTATAAATCAATGGCTAAGACCTAACTGCAGTGTTATGGCCAGGTGTGGGCATCACACTGTAGGAAATCACACTGTTAGAGAAAGCGCAAAGGGATGGCCCAAGGTTGAACCAGTTAAGTTAGACGAAGAGACTAGATAGGTAGTGATTATTCTTCCTAGAATAAAGATTAGGAGATGATTTGATCAGAGGGCTCAAGGGAATTATAGCTACAAGGAGAGGTTGGAGATGTTTTCCTTGGAACAGAGAAGGCTAAGGGGTGACATAATTGAGGTATACACAACTGTGAAGGGTAGGGATAGAGTAGACAGGAGGAACGTATGGTTCAAGCTAACTGGCAGAAGGATCAAAGGAGATGTGAGGAAAAACATTTTTATGCAGAGGGTGATGGGTGTCTAGAATTCATTGCCTGAGTTGGTGGTGAAGGCATAGACACTAAACACTTTTAAAAAGTACCGGGATCTGCACCTTAAGTGCTGTAAGCTGCAGGGCTATGGGCCGTGTGCAGGAAGATGGGATTAGAAAGGGCATCTTGGTGTCTTTGGGTCAGCATGGACAAGATTGACTGAATGGCCCCCTTCTGTGCTGTATCATTTCTGTGGTTCTATGGTTCTAAGTCATGAAAAGTTTGATTGAATAAATATGGAGAAATTGATTATAGTGGCAGTAGGGTCAGCAGCCAGAGGATATGGAATTAACATGAATGGCAAAAAGATCCACAGAAAACACAAAGAAACTTAAATTTCTACTAAGCCGGAAGGTATTGCCTGAAAGGTTGGTAGAAGCAAACGCAGTTGCAACTTTCAAAAACATGGGAGTTGGAGAAATATTGGAACAGTAAATGTTACAGGAAAAAGCAGAGCAGTGGAGCTAACAGGATAGCTGTTTTAAAGAGCCAACACAGGCGCAATATCATAGAATCATATACAGCACAGAAACAGACCCTTCAGTCAACTCATCCATGCTGACCAGATATCCTAAATTAATCTAGTCCCATTTGCCAGCATTTGGCCCATATCCCTCTAAACCCTTCCTATTCATGTACCCATCCAGATGTCTTTTAAATGTTGTAATTGTACCAGCTTCCACCACTTCCTCTGGCAGCTCGTTCCACGCACCACCCTCTGCGTGAGGAAGTTGCCCCTTTGATCCCTTTTAAATATTTCCCCTCTCACCTTAAACCTATGCTCTCTAACTTTGGACTCGCCTACTCTGGGGAAAAGACCTTGAATATTCACCCTATCCATGCCCCTCATGATTTTATAAACCTTTGTAAGATCAGCCCCCAGCTTCCGATGTTCCAGGGAAAATAGTCCCAGTCTATTCAGCCTCTCCCTATAGCTCAAACTCTCCAATCCCAGCAACATCCTTGTAAATCTTTTCTGAACAATGGATTAAAAAGTAGTGTCTGTACCTTATCATTTAGTGATTCTATTGTTGATGTGGTGATCGTTCTACTGAAGTTATAACTAGACTATTAACTCAGAGACGCAAGTCATGTTCCCAGACCAGGAGTTTGAATCCTATCATGACAGATGATGGATCCAATAAAAACCTAGAATTAAGAGTCTAATGATGACCTTGAAGCCATCGTTGATTGTCAAGAAAACCCATCTAGTTCACTAGTATTATTTAAGGAAGGACGCTGCTCTGACTACGTGACTCCAGACCCTAGTCACGTGGTAGATTCTTAACTGCCCTCTGTACGATTAGAGATAAGCAATAAATGATGACCTAGTCAGTGATGTCCATGGATCCTGAATGAATAAAAAAAGAACTGATCAATTCAATTTTTGAATCGCAGATCAGAAGTATTTGCAGTTTCAAGAAACATTGAGAATTTGTCTGCAGCAAAATCAGTCCTGATTTTACCTGAAGCAGAAGAGCCGAGCATCACAAATCAAAAATTCAAGGCAACCTGGCGCAATCCAACAGATGTAAGTTTTGTTTTCCATGAAGTAACGTGAAGTAATTATAGAGGTAGGTGTGTATTGCTGTGGACTTCCACTGAACTTTGTCATACAAGGAACACTCTTCAGAAAAAAAGGATAAAATAGAACAATAATTTATTGTCACCTATACCTTTTACAAAAAAACCATACAGTGAAAGCGTTTAAGTTGCCATTATCCAGTGCCATTTTCATAACAAATTACATATTTTAAATAAATTAGAGTATAAAAGGCTGCAGATGCTGAAGAGTACATTTGCAGCCTCCCAGAATGATTTCTGTGAGGTAGGAAGATTATAAAACAATTTGAATCTAGGAAAGTAAATATGGTTGTAACACCATTACATTATTGCATTTGACTAATTGCAGACACACACGATGTCTTTCAGCAGTCGACATCGATGGTTTAAGAAATGTTTGCAATCTATATGGGTTTTTCATCATACACATTCCCTTTGCTAATTCGTTGTGACATACCAAATGTTATAGTGGACCACATTCCACAGAATGACACAGTCGCTACAAAGTACTATTTTTGCAAGCTTGCTTACAATACTGGCCAGCTGTCCCTTCACTCCCATCTCAAGACTGAGTCATTATCTTATTTCGCAATACAGCAGCATAAATAGCTTATTTGGCTGAACAGCTGGCTTCTGATGTAAAGCAATACTGTCAGTGTGGGTTCAATTCCTGTATCAGCTGAGGTTACCACAAAAGGTCCTATCTACTCATTCTCTCCTGCCTCCTAAGGCATGGTAACCCTCAGGTTAAACCACCACCAGTCATCTCCATCTGTGGCCCTCTGGGAATATGGCATCTTTGCCTTTGGAGCCCTCTTAGTGTCCCTACCTCTGGGCCTGAAGATCTGGGTTCAACTCCCACCTGTTCCTGCAGTGAGCAATTAAATCCATAAACTGGTTGATTTGGAAAAAAGCAGGTGTAAATCTGAAATGGATAAATGTGCAGCTTACAGAAAGAAGTGAACTTCTAATTTGGAGAGCTAGTAGAAACGTGATGGTCTGACTGGCCTCTTGCTGAATCAAACATCCTGTAACCTCAACAGAGAATGAAGGCTGAACACTGGTTGTTTACTGCAACACTGAAGTTTAACCCAAACCAAGTGTGAACCACTTCAACCAGCTTCGTTATTTACTGACATATAACACAAATCCACAAATCAATTATCTTCATACAAAATTAAACCAGATCCTAACCTTCCATATGTTTGATTGCATTGCTGGAGTGTCTCTTCAGCATCAAGGGATATGGAGCAAAGAACGAGTCATACAGTCATACGGCATGGAAACAGATCCACTTAGTCCAACTCGTCCATTTGGAAGGACAAGGACATCAGATATATGGGAACTCCACCACCTCCAAGTTCCCCTCCAAGTCACTCACCATCCTGACTTGGCAATACATCGCCGTTCCTTCACTGTCGCTGGGTCCAAATCCTGGAATTCCCTCCCCAATAACATTGTGGGTCAACCCACAGCAGGAGGACTGCAGCAGTACAAGAAGGCAGTTCACCACCACCTTCTCAAGGGGCAACTAGAGACGGGCAAGAAACACTGGCCAGCCAGCGACGCCCACATCCCACAAATGAATAGAAAAAAAATGCCGACCAGGCATTCTAAATTAATCTAGCCCCATTTGCCAGCATTTGACTCATTTTCCTTTAAATCCTCCCCATTCATGAAGCCATCCAGATGCCTTTTAAATGTTGCAATTATCAGCGTCATCATTTCCTCTGGCAGCTCATTCCATACATGCACCACTTCTGTGTGAAAAATTTCCCCTTAGGTCCCTTTTAAATCTTTCCCCTCTTACCTTAAACCTATGCCCTCTAGTTTTAGACTCTGCTACCCTGGGGAAAAGATCGTGGCTATTCACCCTATCTATGCCCCTCATGATTTTATAAACCTCTGTAAGTTCACCCCTCAGCGTCCAACACTCCAGGAACATAGCCCCAGCCTATTCAGCCTCTCCCTATATCTCAAACCCTCCAACCCTGGCAATATCCTTGTAAATCTTTTCTGAACCCTCTCAAGTTTAACAACATCTTACCTATAGCAGGGAGACCAGAACTGAACGCAATATTCCTAAAGTGGCCTAACCAATGTCCCATACAGCTGCAACATGACCTCCCAACTCTACCTGTGATGCTACCTTCAAGGAACTATGAACCAGCACCACATGGCTTTTTTTGTTCAGCAACACTCCCCAGGACCTTACCATTAAGTGTATGAGTCCTGTGCTGAACAAAAACAAAGTTGCTGGAAAAACTCAGCAGGTCTGGCAGCATCTGTAAAGTAAAAAACAGAGTTAACATTTCAGGTCCAGTGGCCCTTCCTCAGTCGTGTCCTGATTTGTCTTTCCAGAATGCAGCACCTCACGTTTATTTAAATTAAACTCCATCTCCCACTCCTCGGCCCATTTGCCCATCTGATCAAAGATCTTGTTGTATTCTGATGTAACCTTCTCATCTGTTCACTACACCCCCAATTTTGGTGTCATCTGCAAACTTACTAACCATACCAACTATATTCACATCCAAATCATTTATATAAATTACGATAAGCAGTAGACCCAGCACTGATCCTTGCGGCACACCACTGCTCACAGACTTCTAGTCCAAAATGCAACCCTCCACCACCATCCTCTATCTCTCCTACCTCCAAGACAATTTTGTATCCAAACGGCTAGCTCTCCTTGTATCCCACGTGATCTTGCTTACCAGTCTACCATGTGGTACCTTGTTGGACACCTTGCTGAAGTCCGTTCAGACAATGTCCACTGTTCTACCTACGTTAATCTTCTTCATCACTTCTCCAAAAAACTCAATCATTGGGACCTCTTCTGGGGTAGGGGGTGACCTGTACAAGAGGGTTGGGTTGCACCTAAACTGGATGGGATGACCTAGTGGTAGGCAATGGCCTAGTTGTGTTAACGCTGGACTGTTAATCCTGAGATCCAGATAATGTTCTGGGGTCTGGGATTCGAATCCCACCATGGCAGATGGTGGAATTTGATTTCAATAAGTATCTGGAATTAACAGTCTAACGATGGCCATGAATGCATTGCTGATTGTTGGGAAAAACATATCTGGTTCACTAACGTCCTTTAGGGAAGGAAACTGCCATCTTTACCTGGTCTGGTCTGTATGTGACTGCAGCAATATGGTTGACTTTTAACTGCCCTCTGGGCAATAAATGCTGCCTAGCCAGTGACACCCTCATCCTGTGGATGAATAAAGAAAGAAAAATATACTTCCCAAGTGGAAGTACAACAAAGGGTTGATTGCTGGGCTGGAGGGATAGTCACATGAGGAAAGATTAGTACCATCGAACCACAGGAAAATCGCAACAAAGCAAGAGGCCATTCATCCTTTCATATCAGCACCATCCAAGCAAAAAAAAACTAGCTGACCATTCCAATCCCACCTTCCAGCACCTGGTCAATAGCCTTGTGGTCAGGTAGCCAGCAGCAGAAATGACTGGTTAAGAGCTACGATCAAGAATGCTGGAAATTTTGGTCCAGGTAGTTTAAACTCTGACCTGGGTTAAAACTGCAACCAGGACCTGCTGTGACCTGTAGTTTGCTGTGTTGACCAAATAAGGCAAGTGTCACAGTGTCTGTAGACTGCCTGACATCGCATTACCTTATATGCAGCATGGAATGTCACATTTTCTGACTTGCTGTAAACATTTGGGATAGCAAGAACTGCAGTTGCTGGAGTCAGAGATAACACAGTGTGGAGCTGGAGGAACACAGCAGGCCAGGCAGCATCAGAGGAACAGGAAAGTTGACGTTTCGGGTCAGGACCCTTTTTCAGAAATGGGGGAGGGAGCTCAGAAATAAAGCGGGGGGGGGGCGGGGCTGGGGAAGGTAGGTGGAATCGTGATAGGTTAGTGCAGGTAGGCAGTGATGGGGATTGGTCAGTGAGGTGGGAGGGGTGGATAGGTGGGAGAGAAGATGGACAGCTATGTCAGGTCAAGGAGGCGGGGATGAGAGGGACGGTTGGACATGGGATGAGGCCCGGAGTGAGGAGATTTTGAAACTGGTAAAATCCATATCTAGGCCATTGGGCTGTGGTCTCCCGAGGCAGAATATGAGGTGCTGCTCCTCCAGTTTCCAGGTGGCGTCATTGTGACACTGGGGAAGGCTCAGGATGGATGTGTCACCCAGAGAGTGGGAGGGGGAATTAAAATGGTTCGCGACTGGAAGGTGTTGTCATTTGTTGTGTACAGAGGGCAGGTGCTCCACGAAACGGTCCCCGAGTCTCCGTTGGATCTCACCAAAGTAGGGAAGGAGGATCAGAAATAGTAGGAACTGCAGATGCTGGAAAATCTGAGATAACAAGGTGTAGAGCTGGATGAACACAGCAGGCCAAGCAGCAGCATA